TCGTTTAACTAACAAACTTTACTGCCATGCTATATAGTTAGTAAAAAAACTCAAGTCTCACAAAATCGTTTTAAGAGAACACACTTGGAGCGTCTTACGTTAAACCACCGCAAATGAAAATAACCGAAGCCGCACGTAAATTACTGTTTCTTTTTAAAATAGTCATCGAACTTCTTATAACCACTTGAACCGGAGTATTAGATTAAATGATTAAATCGACAAAAAAATCTGTTGAGTACGTTGGTACTGTTTTCAAAAAAACGCTGGAGAGAATATGAGGTTCGTGTGAGTTATTCTTAATGCAACGTTAACAACAACTTTCTTCCGATTTTCTACAAACGACTTTCTTCCGATATTCTTATTTGAACAAAGCAACAACGAATGAAGACCGGCGCGCAGGTCGTATGACGAGAAGTTTACAGTATCCTGTAGAAGTATTTTATCATCGAATATGATGGCTATCTGGGCGGACACCTTCACGCACTGGTTTGGATTCATCGTGTACCCCGTATAGTAAGAAGAAAGGTATTCGCCAAAAATTGAGAAATGACAGAGCCAGGTGAGAACTTTTGATGCGTCCATATAGATTTGTTTTCTACGATTAAGGGAGATCGTCAGCTTACCGTACGTGTTAGGTAATAACATTTCGCGACTCCGTCGAGTGATCATTGGAGTCTAAAGGCAAAACAATTAGGAAATCTGAAATCTTTGGATCTGAGTATCATGTTACTGAAAGACAGTTCCAATTCTTCTTCGTCTAACTCTAGATATGTATTGTTATTTTACTACTGACAATTTTGTTATCGATTGGAAAAAAACGAGTATTTGAATGATTTTCGTTCTTTCTCTGTAATCAGTCAGTCTGTTACTTTGAAGGGTTGTTTGCCATTTCATTAAGGACAAGAGAATATCTTGTGATTTCAGTCATATTATGGTTCAGCCGGATGCTATCAAAAAGATGGGGTTTTAGAAGTTAGATCTGTTTCCATTTAATTTGCCGCTTGTATTGAATGCATGAAGATCTTTCTCTTCTATATACGAAATGTAATGTCAATTCAATCTCATATTGTTTAATAGTTTATCCAAATGAGTGACCGCCTACTTAAAAAAAGAATCACTTTTGACCTTTTATAATGGAGTTCAATATTTTGGATACAACATTATACCTCTATAGATAGAGTCACTGTACCTCTTCGATCATTTATTCCTTAATTTAAGAGTAGATATATTTTTTGTAACATATATAGTTTTGCTTGTAAGTAACAAATAATACGATGCAAAATTGAAAAGCCAGATAAATAGCGAGTTATAAGTAAGCGTTGTTCTTAAGTGTTATGGAAGAAGAAAAAAAAGAGTTAAAAATGCAAATTTTAACAAATTAATATTCGTGAAATTAAATGTTTATTTTTTATTCTTTTTGGTCGTATCTTAAGAGCACCAAATAATTTAAGTTATTGCTAAATTAAAAACCGTTTTATATATTTTTCTGTTTTCTTCTCTTTGTTTTTTGTTTAACATTAAGAAGAATTATAGTTTACAAGACAAGCATTATATAACATTTTATACACTAATAATAGTACTTGTGAGTGTAATATAATATTTTATTAATGCATTAAAACAAATGTAATGCTGAAAGTGTTCATATTCTGAATGTTAAAATTAAGGAATGTGTAATTTATACGAAGTAACGATTGAAATGTTAAAATCACGTTATATTTATTGAATTAGACGATAAAAATTAACAAATATACCTTTTCGAAGCACGTATACAACATTTTATATTATGTATAGATTACAGAACAGCATATATATTTCCATTTGACAACTAGAAGAGAACGAATACGATTGCAAAGTATGATTAACATAGAAAAAAGAAATGAAATGTTATAAATGTCAAGTTTAATTTGAATTCTTGTTTCTTTCATGGATTAAAATGAAATCGAACGGAGAAAACTATATTTATTTTACGTAGATTATAGAAAAAGAAAATAAAGGATTGTTAAAGTGCTTTTTATAAACAATTTACATTAATTTAAGTTCAAAGTTGACGAATTATTGGAACTGAAATTGTACGAAATATAACAACAACAACAACAACAATATTCGATTAGCGTTATTTATATTTTAGGAATAATATACGGCGATAACCGTTAAGATTTTGTTTAATGTATACTTGTAGCAAGTTAAACGTACCCGCGAATATTGAATTCGTGTACAATTTTCAACTATTTATCTGTGTATACACATGTAATATCTTCATTTATATAATGCTTTGTACCAATGAAATTGATAACATAGTGCGGGGCCAATAATAATTTTAATCCAAAAAACATATGTTTCAACCAGTCTACCAGATCTACCGACTAACTTGACGAAATCTTGAAAAACTGAAACATCTTATTTGTTTCCTATTAATTTATTACAGTTAGGTATTTATTAAAAATTATTCAAATAGGGCCACCAATTAACCAAATCGGTTAACTCTGGAAAAGAAAAAAAGTGATTGTTACAGGACTAGTTTCAAATTAACCGCCATACGAAATGCATAAAACTGTACACCCTTCGGTAATTTCCATAATAATCGCAATTTTGTAGATATCCAAAAGAATGATTATCGTTCAATCCCATCAAAAGCCAACAACGATGAAATCCGTTTTAAATATCAACAAATTAGCGGTGAATCTTAACGAGGAAATTTCAAAGAGTTCGGAAAATTCGGAAATCGAAAAAATTCGAAAAATGGAGTGAACCGTTTTGGCCAATGAGAGCAAGGCTCGATCATGTAACGGAAACGCGTGACGCTTTACTTTTGTATCGCGCGAATCCTCGGTGGGCCAACATCGCCGGACACCAGCCGCCGTTTCGTGAAATAATATATTTGGCATTAAAGAATTGAACACCGCCAGCGAAGAACTGGACAACAACAACCACGACGACGGCCTTTGTACAACGGAACATTCACCCTAATTTAGTCAGTAAGCAACCGGGCACGCAAGGTGGTCAAACGGGATTCCCCATCGTGGCTATTCTTAACCAGACCAAGCTAATATTGAACCCGCTCAATTACTTCCAGCCTCGCTGGCATCGGTAATAAGCATAACTGTTACCATCGATTCCCAGCGTTTACATTTCTTTCGGTCTATTTACATTCTATAAATAAACCACTCTATCCGATTCCTCTCGCGCCAGCATGAAAATTACAACCGGCCAAGAAGTCTCGCGATCTGAACCCTATCGATGCAACGCTCGAATTCGGTACTTGTCAGACGCTTAAAGACGCTTAATGACGCTTAAAGACAAGATACTCGTAAAATTGTAGCAACTGTAAAAAATCGTAAAAACATATCGTCTCGGCAGGGAGTTGAAATATTCGCGATACACAGTATTCTTTCGAGAATGTACATTCACAACGCGACCTTCGCTATCAGCCTTTTCCCAAGACCTTTTACGAGGCGCTAATCGCACCGCGCGCCGACGCCGCGTCTCTCTAAGGTTAGGAACCCCTCGCGAAACCGTCGGCCTTCGTAATTTTTCGACGGTCCCCGTCGCGAAAGGTGGGGCCCTGCCCTACGCTCGTGTTTTTCTCCGGGGCCGCAAGGGAAAAGATCGACGTCCGGCCTCCTCGGTAGGAAGAAACACGATCGGAAAAGAAATAAGACCGCTAGGAAGGGGAGTACCCGTACCCCGGGTTAAAAATAGCAGAGAGACGCGTTTCCAAATAAAAACTAATAAGCGGCCTGTAGAATAACGATTAAGCCGGGGAGAGTAATAAAAAAGGGGGAGAGAAAGACGGACAGCGAGAGGGTATGCGCGCGCTGCCTGCGTGTGCGTGCATGCGCGGACCCCGGAGGTGGGGGGATTACAGCCGAGCGTAGAGGTTAGGGTACGCGGCGGGAAGGAGAAACGAGATATCGAGAGGCGGCTGGCGGCGTCGATCGGAGGAAGACGCCGGCCGAGACGTAACAAAATAACATGGTTCCCCGTGGCAAGCAGGGATGAGCAAAAAACGATCGAGACTATACGGGGAGGCAGAGAGAGAGACAGGTAGACCCAAGCGAGCCTGGCCGGGTATCTTGGCCCAGTGAAATAATATATCGACTATAATGGCCGGTGCTGCGTGCTCGCTCGGATAAAGGTGAGAACCGGTGGTGCGCACGGAGGGCCTGGAAGGAGGAATATATCTCCCACCCCGTAGCTTTTACCCGGCGCGTTTCGCATGGTTTGGCGGCTATACCGGCGCTGCGCGGCATGGCACGGCACGGCACGGGGTACGGCCAACTCCGCATCTAGCGGCCCAGCTGAACCCGCGGCGTCGTTGCCCGGCATTTCCAATGAAACTTTATTTTAACAACAATCGACAGATTCCGAGGCGCCTCAAATTACCAGCGGGACGAGCTGCTCCTCGGCTACCGTGTCTCGAGACTTAACCCTTTGCACTCGACCATTCCACACCAGGAATATTCGAATGAATCGTGGAACGCCGCCATTTTATCCCATCGTCTCGCACCGATGCGTTGCGCAAGGTTAACCTTTACTCTTTAACTAGTTAGCCAGCAGTCAAATTGTATTTCCCAAATTTTCCAGATTTTCCAAACCACTTGTCCTGCTGGTAATCGGCGTAGAAGAATTTCGGTGTTTGACTTGTACGCGTTAACCTTTTGAGGATGGACGTCGTCGTTTATGGAGATCGAGCTTTGATATTTGTATATGATAATAATCGAGTTACTCAAATAGCAAGAGATCACTCGAGAGCTCTCCTTTCCTCCATCATTTACAAGTTCAATATACTTTTCAGGTTCCTCTGCTGAGGATTTTGAATACTTCGGCAAGTCTACGTCCACACGGGTTAATCCCTTCCTATGATGCCTTCCTCGACTACGATGCAACCATTTTCCCATTAATAATTCATCCAAGGAAAAGAATTCCATCTTTTATGTTTGCAAACGTAATGCTCATGCTTGTTAACGCTAAAGGTACCCGCAATTTATATACACCTATCCCTAACTGTAACCGGTCAAATAATTAGTCGTAAAAAGGGGGAAAAAAATTAAACGGTAACTTTAAGGAAATACAAACATTGAGAAACTGTTTGATTCAATTTTGATCGAAAATGCAGAATTTTTAATGAAACTTTAAAACTGATCATTTGACCGGTCTTGGTACGCTTAGTGTTAAATTCTATTTGAAATCTCCACGACTCACTTTGTTGCAAGGCAAGGGGTTAAATATATTAACGAATCCAACGCCGACCGAGAGTCATCTCTCGAGTGCAAAGGGTTAATCCCAGTTTCGGTACGCGATCGGTAGGCACTCCCTGAGCCAATTATTCGCTCGGCTAATCAGATCGCCGTTCCGTTTCCTTTTCTCTTCTTTCCCCCTTTTTGCCTCTTCATCCTCTTCTTCTCCTTCTTCTTTTGCTGCTGCTTCTTCTTCTTCTTTTGCTTCTTCTTCTTCTTCTTGGTCTTCTTCGTCTTCTTCTTCTTCTTCTTCTTCTTCTTCTCGTTTCATTTCTTTTTCAGCTGCAAAGTAAATGTATTGTGACGGAACGACCACTTTGCGGTACACGTTGGATACAACGGCGCTGGTTCGTCGGTTGTGTCACACGATCGCCTGGAATTCACGGCGCAGTGAAAACTCGAGCGATTTCCACGAAAATGCTGCTCGCCGTGGATGCCTGGCACAAGGGGGCACGAGCAGTCCCGCTGTTCCAGAGTTTAACCCCGTTGCTCTGGGGCTCGCGACCAATTCGACAGGTATAAGCATGGTTTTTTCCCCTCTGCTGAACAGAAATCGAATATCTAGTGGACATTTAATCTTCCTAGTAAACATGGGCTTGCGGTGAACGTTGGATTCTTTTTTTCCAGCTGATTGTCGAGGATGACGCAGCCTTGACACTGGAACCAGCGACGACAGGCGGTCGGTTTTATTTAGAATCTCTCATGGGAAACGCTGGAACACGGGTTTCAAGATTTCAGGATGTTGGGTTAATACGAAAGTTGTTTTTCTTCGGAAGAAATGAAAAGGAGAGATTTTCGAGTATCGCATCAGTTGCTATTGTATAAATATTGTAAAAATGCTGGAATTCCTACAGGAAACGCAATGTTCGCGTCAACCCAATAGTTCTAATCTGCATAGGTGCATCGATTAGTCGCACTTTGCTTGGAACATGTTTCACTTGTAATTGCAACAGGACAAATTACGAAAGAAATATTTTCTTCGAGGTTTGAGTCGCTCAGAAGCCAACGCGGTTAAGTTCAGAAAAGAAGAATTGAGAAGATTAATGTTTCGGCTTCCGAAACGATTATACAACATATTCAGATTGTAGCATTAGTCACAGATCATTGAGTCGTCGATTAAATTCAAATTCAAGTAGTTAACGATCTCAAAAAAACCACGACAATTTGAATCGCCGTGAGGCGAAGAATCTGCGACGTCCACTGGTTCTAGCGTCGAGGATGATAGCTACGGAAGAGGTTGCGAGGTGATAATTAGTAGTGTTCCATTGTTAGCTACTGCGTACCAAGGAAAGCGTTAAAAATTCATTACTAAAACGATGCATCTTTGCGCGAAGAGAAAAAACAAACGCGTTCCCGTTGAAACTCGTTCGATCCGTTCTCAACGCTCGTTGTCGGAGCGTGCCGCACGGAAACGGGCAACTAATATGTATCCATTTCGCGACTGTCTACTTTCCCCTGTGCCATTGCGTAATCGTGAATGCATTAAAACGGTGTTTTCCTGTCAAATTTCAGTGGCGTTGGAGCTGTTGAGCGAGGATCGAGGGGATCTACGAGTTTCGGCGCAGCCTGGCCATCGGCGGAACCAGAAACTACTGAAAATTCGTCTGAAGCCGACGGTTCAACGAGAAAATCCGTGGAATAAATCCTGGAAACTGAATCAGAGATTGGAAAGAATTACGAAGGATCAAATTGAAATTGGATAGAAGTTAGATTATCTCGGTTCTTCATAATTGTTTCACTTTGAACCGTGTATAACAGCTTCGTTATTTTTCAAAGCTTCTCGATCCCTGAAGAAAATCATGATTATAATCCGTTTCTTTGGAACGCGACACTGTGTTACACAAAGGAACGGAGCCACGAGAGCGCACGGTTTCCTGTGCGCGTATCGCACGGTCCAGTCTTATGTAAACACGTACTGTTTTACCTAACGGTAAGAAATCAATCGGTTTCTTGAAATGTATCGACGAACGCTGCTCGGCCGGTTTACTGGCCAGTGATTCGACCTTCTTTCGTTTTTCCGGGACACTTTAACAGTGGATTATCATGAAATTCAGCAATAAGTCACTGTAACTGATAGTCGATCGACTTAGAAATCAATTCGCTATATATACTCTCGCGACATCCGTTGTCTTTTTCAATAATTATTCTAGCGTTGAGAAGCCTAGAGAACACCGCTTGCCCGGGAATTTTTGAATTTTTGAAAGATTCTTCAACAGTGGAACTCTTAATTTTCCATTGTTTCATGAATCATTGGTTTCAGGTATAAGAGAGTCCCGATTCGAAGCGATTCCGATATCAAACTTGGCCTCTAACGTAGGAATCTTGATGAAGATGATCCAGCGACATCCTCGAAGGACCTTCCATCCTCCAAAATCATTTCAACTCTGAAATGTCCATTCGGTAATGTCCTCAGGGTCTCCAATTTATTCCTTGAAGAAATGTACAGTGGAGAGCCTCGTATAAAGGATTAAAAAGTTCCTTGATAGCGACTCAACGTTTAAGAATCTCGCGTTAAATTTGCTTGGATTATTTTCTTATGGAGAATTTCATATTTCATTTCTCAATAATCTTTTAATCGTCTTATCGAGAGATAAGAGTCCTCCTGATGACTATGGGGACAAGAGGCGAATCTCACTGAAAATTTGGGGCTACAATAAAATGAAAGTATAGTCTGGGAAATGAATTATTTACCAGTGTTAAGCATATTTATTGTTTTCTTAGCCTACACATAGAATACAATATATTACACTCTAGATACATGTAGTAGATTGAAGTCTCGTATTTCCAAATGAAGTTCAAATGAAAATGTCACTTGATCGAATTACGCTTCATCGACCGCTCTTTCTCACTCGTTAGATCTCTATTACGTTGAAAAGTGAACCAAAACTGTTTGCCCTCTAAATGTACAAAGCAGAATCTTCTTATTGCAAAGGGGCTGCGCCCCAAAGTACAAGCCTCTTCAATTAGAAGACGCCTTGCTACGCGACAGGTGTCTTTCCCTTTACAACTATAGTTTCTCAGTAACTTGCAGTAGATTTTCATAAAAATGTAACTGAGAAATTAAAAACTTGTCGAACAAAATGTGTAGAATCCAATGATTGTTCGATGAAAAACATCGATTACCAAAGAATCTGTGAATCTCGAGTCAGCCCCAAAAACCGGACACCTCGCGTTAGAAGCCGATATCAAGCGTTAGAACCTAAGACAGCCTCCACACCGATAACTCCGATATTTTCAATGCGTAAAAATGTCCACAGGCGGGGGATTTACGGAGAAACCGAAAGGAAAGGAAAGGAAAGGAAAGGAAAGGAAAGGAAAGGAAAGGAAAGGAAAGGAAAGGAAAGGAAAGGAAAGGGAAAGAAAGATCGGTGGACACGAGGCGACACGACAGCGCGTAGAATCGCCGTGAGCAGAGGATTCACGGAGAATCGGTACCGCAGGCGGGTGAGCGAGCGAGCGAGCGAGCGAGCGAGCGAAGACGCCACCGATTTATGATGCCGCGGCGATATGCTCACCATTTTGGTTTCGTTGAGGCCTCCGGGCAACCTTCGAGTGGTGTCCCTCCGCCTCCAGCTCGAGTTGGACTGAAAGAAAAGGAAGAGGGAAAGGAACAAGTTCTTCGGCGGCCGTGCACAGTCTAGTTCAAGACTCGCGATGATAGTGAACGTCCTCCCATGAAGATTCCTCTGCTGCACGGCCGCCCTTCTCTGTCCGAGCCAGAAACTAGTGTCACCCAGTGTCGTGGACCGGACGACGCGGCGTTCGCACGGGTCGCGGAACCTTTGCAGGTCAGTGCACGTTTATGCCTCTCGAATGTAACAATTATGCGCGTTAATGTTCGACCACGGTTCCTTGGCCTGTTACGGCTGTTTCACCGATTACCATTTTTCTCCAGGCTCTCTCGAGCCTTTGGCTTTTTCAATTTTCTCTGTTTCTCGGCAAGTTTCAAGTTTGCCGACTCTTTCGACGATTTTGCGGGGTTCCGATCTGTATTTCGGCTTTTCCGGTTGATACTAGGTTTATCGATCTTTATTCTGCTGTTTACAGGAGATTCGTTTGTTGAAATGGATCGTGGGAATTAGGAGTTTACCCTTTGCGCACGGGGTCGACATTTTGGGGAGATGAAGTTTTTGGGTTTCGACGGCTGAGTAGGAAACATGATTTAGTTGGGCGGACTGCCAGAGATCAGCGTGTAGTTGCATTTTTTTCTGATAGCTGACCAGTCGATACGTAATTTTGATTTGTATGTTTCGGAGAATCTTGGTCCGCGGAGGGTTGAATAATAGAAAGTTGTGGTACGCGTTCGTATGGTTGTATACGATCGTTGACTTGAGTTGTTATAGAATGATGTCTGTAGAATTTCGTTAGATTGACGGGTCCTGTGAATTTGAATATATAATTTTACTGTCGCGAATTTTCAATTTTGATTGTTTCAGTTTCCTGATTTTTCGAATTTCAAATTTTACTTTCAAATTCTACTTGTGTCTCCCGAAGTAAGGGTTCGAATTTTATTTTCACCTTGCGAATGTCAGAAATTAATTAAAGAAATTAGTATCAACGGTGAGTATACTCGTCACAGTAAATTTGAATTATTTCTATCGACCGAACGACGTTGATACAGAAATTCAAATCCAAACCAATTAAAATCCTAATAAACACTGTTGCAGCAAAGAAATGTCGGAAAGTCGATTCCGGTGTTCGGTAGTTCCATCGTGAAACATGTTTTTCCAATCATTATCCGCGCGATAATCTTTCCATTCACTCGGCGGCGAACGATTCCTCGTTTGAAAAGCAGAATTTCATTAAGAAGCGATCGCTGATTGTTGATCGATAGACTGCAGCTCTTTATGCAGATTTCGATTTTCGATAGACGTTATTCAGAAAACAGGATTACTATTGCCTGTGTTTCGTAACGAGCATTAACGCTCGTTGTACAAGTTTATTCTATTGTTCTTAGAAAGATAGATGTTCGATTAGATTGTGGAGACTCGATATTAAACCAATGTTTATAAAATTCAGTTTGCACCGAATTGCGTTGCTCGAATTCGCGTTGAAACCATCACTATGCTTCGCGTGTCTTTCGTTTGTAACGAATAGATTCTGTAATTGGAGAAATAGAAGTATTAAGATACAGATATCATAATAGAATTATGATAAAACTACCAAAAAAAAAAATCAGGAAGTTTTCCTGATAAAATCATATAATCTATCATCTCACACTATTTGGTTTGATAAAAAATTGTAACGTTATAAAATTCAATATCATGTTGCGTACAATGCAATTATACTTATTGTTACTCAACATAGTCAAAGATTTGATCGATAGCTCATTAGAAAATAATTAATATACACAGCAGAAAAATTGTCGAGCGTAAAGAGTTCATTTGATTCGGTTCTCGTGACGTACGCAGACTTTTTCTCGGATTTGAACGTCGGCGTCGAACATCCGCGCGGATGTCGCGTTCACTCGATAATTTTCGTGTCCACTTGCAGCCACGATCTCTTTTTTTCTCGATCGGATTCGATGACGAGCGCGTTATCATCGGGTATAACGCGGACCGTTCGCGGTTTTCGCGTCGAAATCGACGACCTTTTCATAGAATTCGCACCGAATGGCGAATTTTACCTTCAATTAAATCTGAAACGTCGTAGAATAAGGAAAAAGCGTGAAAAAACTGGCGAAATAATCGATTGAAGTCGATGGTTCTCGGAAAGAAACATTGTTTACCGGTCAACTGTTCGATCGGTTTATTGTTCACTTGATAAACCCGTTTCTTGTCGATCTTATGGCGCCGGCGTTACATATGGACATGAAATGAATGATTCATCTGAGTCCTATGAAAATCTCTGAAGATTTTACCCCACGATACTTGACTTCAATTCCAAAAGAAAATTCATTCTTCCATCTGAATTCCATGGGAACGCCACAGTACTTGAATTCCATGAAAATTCCATCGAATTTCATCCCACATCTCTGTTTCAGTACTAGCAACATCAACTTCCTTCCATCTCCGAATCAATCGAAAATTTCCTCGAACTTGAGCGCAAAAATCACCGATCGCTCCCACCGTAATTCGACCTAAACCACACACCCATGCCGTCGATCGAAATTTAATGAACCGAATCTCGGGAACGAGTTTCACCTTTTTCCGACGCGATTTTCCCGGCGGCCGATCTCCATCGGACCGAGAGCATTGCAACACCGTTGCGGTGGCGCCGATCCTCGCAATTGTTTCTAATAAAATCAGATAAAATAAATGTCGCCGGCGATGAGACAGCGTTTCAGGTCTTGCGATGTTTTCCGGGAAATGCAAATATTTTCCTGCCTTCAATCACCTCGGGAAAACGAAACTTGCGAGGAACGCACACCACGATGAAATACGTAATTATCAAGGCTCACGGACTATATATATATGTATATAACATATGTATATATGTATAACGTGCGCACGAGCGTTTTAATGAGAACTTTTTGATCGTCGATCAGTGTTTACCGGCGACGTACACGCACACGGTTCATTAGGATTGACCAGTTCATCGTAATTAACCGGTGAACGGTCAAACTGTGGTTTTTCACGTTGCGACTGGCTGACAATCGAAATGCCTGGTATGTACCTTTTTCCGTCGAATCGCAACGTTCACCGTGATCTCTGTCGTTAATCGGGAACGTTGGTTATTGGGATTATTAACGATAATTGAACAGTCATTGTTGGTTTCGATTAGTAGCCTTTGGAACGTGTGCTGAGGTATGCCTCATTTGGTTGTAATGGTTTCATCGGAGGCTTGTTTTTGCAACAATTGTGAAAATTGTTAAAAGCTGTAATTACCAGGGTTTAACGAAGAATAAATTCTCTATGTATCTTCTTCTGTAGACGATAAAGTTGCAATTATCAAAATTGCCACGTTGAACAACTGATTTCCAAAGGAAATTCTCTAAAATTGCAACAGTAAAAATCCAGCGTCTCGTATTGTAGTCGGAGAACAGCAATGTTGGAGATTAGCAACGCGTAATATATTTTCTCATTTAGAACGCGCCGAAGAACGAGCGCTAAAAAAAAAATGCCAGAGGAAGAAATTGGTTTCGACTGGACTGGTGGTTCCAGTGTTAATCAACTTTTAACGCCGCTTGTAAACAAGAGGAGCGCTCCGAAGGATACGCGAATACTTTTCCGTGAGACAGTAATGAAACTATTTGAATATTGAGCCGGTGTAACAACACGTACGACGTACATTGTTAGTACACCGCGGGAGATCCGTCGGCGACGCGGTATTCCCCTCGATCACGTGCAGAAACCACGTTAACGGCGGTCCGAAATTATATGCGGGTTGCATCATTCGAATCTAATTAAACGTACGACTAATTAAGTAATTGTTTCGCGCGAACCACGGCTATCGATACTGCGCGCGGGACGAACGAGGAGGATTAAATTATTCGCGGAAAAGATTTTAAGAGCGAATCCTCTGTGTGCGCGCTCGCTCGCGCGCGATTAATCGTTTACTTGTTGCGGAGTTGACATCACGTTTATCGATGTAAACGTGACAATGAACGGCTGTTCTTTATCTTTGATTTACGTTTCGCAGTGAAATTCCGATCGACGGCTGTATGATTTATTCTTGTCTGTGCAAATTCAGAGAACGCATTTCAAATTTACGGGAATTACAAAATTATTGGTGTAGATGCTTCTTGATAAATTCGAAGACTACTAATCTCTACAACAACCGGACGATTTATTTCGAATGTACAATTGGAAGAACGCTGACTTGCAAGTTTGAAAGATCAGAGGAGCCACGTTAACGATCGAGAAAAATCGGAAGACAGCTTGCTCGCGGTTGAGAAATGTCAGAACACTTACATATCTAACTTAGAAAATGCTTGGATCATCTATTGTCCCCGCGTCGAATTTCCCCTGCGCACGATTTCCCGCGGATGCGTCCTCGCGATTCCAGTAATCGCGAAATAAAAACGTCGAAACGGGTCATTCCGATCTGTCCGGTAATCGCGGTGTTTAATGAGCGGCGCGGGAATCATTTTCAGCTTTGCGGTAACGAGCGGAATACTATCGAGACGCTCGCTCGCTCGCTCGCGTGTACAGGTACAAACAACTTTCAAGGAGCACGGGAATTAATGACTGAATGATTTGTCGCTGCCCGAGGGGCCTTCGCGTCGATCCGAGTGATTCCGAAGATGATTAAATCGCTTTCATAAATAAGAGACCCAACGATCTTCCGCTAAATATAATCTTCCACGAATCTGATTATCCTCTGACGCGCTCGCGCCAGGCGTATTCTCCATTATCCGAATATCAGGAATCCGCTTTTTTCTTCTGGTTTTACGTTACAATGAGAATAAGGCGTGCCATTCGGCGGTCAGTTGTCTCGAGTAATTCACCTGTTGGTTCTTTGTCTTTGTGCGGCTCGTCGAATCGAGATAGAGACATTTCGATACTTCATTTATTGAAAAATGTTAATCGATCGAATTAGGAGACGAGACTCGTCGCGATAATTTAGATGCGAACTCGAGGAAATAGATAAAAATTGTAGTGTAATTTAATTTCTTAATTTACAGTAATACTGAATTTTCAATAATGTTTAAACGAAATAATATTTCGAGCGAAAAGGACCGTTTAGGGTTAAAGTTTCCCTCCGGCATTTGAGCCTCGCCGGGAACGAGGCATCTTTTCCGAGGCGGTTCATTCTTACTCCGGATTTTTTTCGCGCCCAAGGTCGTTCGTGTTCACCCAAGGTCACGCCGCATTAGGTTGTTGTCCTCATCGCGGGAAGCACAATAACGATCCGCGCCGGAGCGTCTTTGCTCCCTTCCATTCGGGACGGAGCAGAGAAAAAACTGAGCGGAGATTCGTTACGAGGAATCGCCGCCTCAAAAATATTTCTTATCCGTCACCTTTCTCGTTTAACCCGTTCAATTAACAGAATTGCTTTTTCTTTTGCTTTTTCTTTTGCTTTCGCCTTTTCGTCAGCAACGCGCGTCATACAGGTCTCGTACAATTTTTAACAAAATTCAATCAACCAAATTACGGCTACAGCCCAAACGACTTGCATTTCCGTTGAACTATCGCTAAAATTGCTAAAAGAAATTGCACGTCTACTTCTAGTTGCAGCTTTTCTTCATCTCCCAGCTGTCAGCTGAAGTGACTCACGTTTAGGTTGAAACATCAGGAAAATAGGTTGAATCGATAACTCCCGAAAGCACCTACTCGCTAATTCGAAAAGAAGAAACTAAAACCAGGAATGAATCATTCCCGCTGATCAGGTAGTTCCAGTATTAAAAAGCCGCTTATCGAAAAGAAGAGAAAGAAGAAAAAGGAAAGCAACGCACAGCGGACGCGTTCAACGTTTTCCCTTGGTCGTTTTCCTCCACGGTTTTTCCTTGTACCGTTTGCCGAATCGAAATCCATCGATAATAGCCGCACAGCTATTTTTAGATATCCGCGTTTCGGTGCGAATACCTGCCGGATACTTGTTTTCGGTTGAGAGGATGTTTAAGGAGAAGAAGCTCTTCTCCCCGGCTCGTTTCAGCCGGCGATTTAAAATGCCCGTGTATCGCCCGAGGCGCTGCCAGTAACTTACCGCGGTATTTCCTCGTCTCTAACGTTATCTGACCTTTATGAAAATGATTCACAACGATTTGGAATTCAGGCGGGGCACGATAGGGGACCAAAGGAAGAGACGAGTCGCTCCAGGAGCCCGATGAGTCCAGAAAATTATTCTTATGCCCTCTGAGATGATTCTACCGCGTATTCGGAAGCTAGAAAAATGGCAGAAATAGAAGAGGTTTAGAGAACCCGAAGGGAAATCTCGAATAACTACCAACAGTGGGATTCCATGAAAATTTACAGAAATCAGAAAATGAAAAATCGAGTTAACCACGTTGGCTCAGCGACTCGGATATACTCGAGTCATTCTCATTTCTATCATCATTGTTTTATTACTAATAACGATTCATTCGCTCGTACAAAATATCTGAAACTCGCCAGAATATTGTCCTAATCATAGTGCTAATTATACATACACGATTACATCCTTAAGGATTCGCAGTCTAATAATAACCAGACCGAATGGCACAAATAAAATGGTAAAACGAAGTTATCTCGACGCCTCGGCGAGCCTTCGGTGACCCAGAAAGCCGAAAGGTAACGCAAACAACGGAAACGCGCCTATTAGATATTCGTTCCCGATGGCTGGCCGACCCGTGAACGGTTTTAGCGCTTCCAGCCGCGTTTAGCGAAACGCCAATTGCCCTGTGGTAATTAAACTCTCGTGCTGCCACGAAAAATTCCGCCGTCTTTCGCGCACGCCACGGATCACCGAGTCACGGAACTCCAATTTTTCTTCCCGTCCGTCTGTTCGCGGTTTATTTATTTAACCTTTTGTACGCGGCAAACGACCTATGCTCGACGTTCGATTCGACGCAGCGGTACGATCGGATTCGATCTTGCAACGTTGACCCTTCGAACGGCGACTCCCAGTTGCCGTCTCATTCGTTCGCGAGATTAGAAGCGTGGAAATGTCATTAATAGAAAATCAATGGTAAACGCCTAGATGAGTCACGTCCTCGCCCATTGCGATGACCTTGAAATATGTCGCCAAGTCGTCATAAACAACTTTTTCCTGTACGTTCGATTTAGGCGGTCCCTTTTATTCTTCAGATATTCGCAGAGATCATTTACCAAACTGAGAGTTTCATTTTTCATTAGGTACCAGCATAGATATCTCAACGGACGAACTTTAACCCTTTGCGGTCCAAAGTGCTTTTGGTTTCTCGCTTTAAGGTTCACGTCGACGTTAGTTCATTCCATTACAGCTTAATATGACGCTCTATTTATTTATTCAAGAATATTTGGGAGTCATTGAAACCATTAAATGGTACAATTGCGATGCTACAAATAAATATAGGAAAAATTGTTAAAACAGGTAGAGGTTGCAAATAGAATGTCGAGTCTGACATAGGACTGCTAAGGGTTAAGAGTTTCTCTAGGAACATTTGGAAAAGTCTATTCGACTGCTCGGTACTGTCAGCGTTAAGTTACCCTACCGTTCCTCCGTAAAGTCTTTGAACCAACTGCACTCGTTTATCTCGATCACCGTCGACGGCAAAAACGGAATCGAGGAATTAAGCGAGTTAACACCGAGCCGAGCGAGCACGAAGGAAATAGCGTACAAGATTGTGTGTTTTGTTTTCCGTATGAAACATAGCTGCAAACCAACGTTCACTTTATCCTGTAGCCTTGTTCCAAATACCTGAGCATGGAAATTTTTGTTTATTCGTTAATTCGAAAATGATCCTGCGCTCGCGCGGCTTCGAAACACTTTCCCGCTACCTGTCCGTCGATGACGGCTGGAAATTCGGGGATTTTCGTTGCAGGATTACCTCGCGGCTAGAGGGGGCCAACGCAAAATTCGGTTTCGCTTATCCCAGTGCTTTATTTCACTTGGTTCGACGAACATTTCATTCGCTGCATCGATTAACAAATTTCTCTACGCCGGTGTTGCCTCTTTGACGGCAAATTGGTCTCGCTTATCGGACGTTTCGTTCGAGAAAAGCACGGAATTGCACAGTTAAAGTATAATAAGGTAAAGTGACATGAAATAATGCGCAGTAAACTAAAGAGAAATAAGGTACAGCGAAATAAAGTAAACGGTTGGTCTCCGTGAAGAAGGAAAAGATAAAAGAGAACCGACACGGAACAGATTCCGAAGCCCTGCACGTATTACGTCAGATTACGTCATATAACTGTTCGAATTGTTTCAGATCAACTCGTTCGAGCGTTCCCCGTCGAAATCTGCCCAGCACGATGAGAGGAAAAAGCGAGAAAACGAAATTGGTTCCGCCGGACGGAGGATGGGGATGGGTCGTCTTGACGTCCGCCCTGGTCGTTAACTTCCTCATTCCGGGAACAGTCAAGTCGTTCGGCGTCCTTTTCGTCGAGTTTCTTCACGTGTTCAAAGCGTCGTCCACCGCAGCCTCATGGATGCCAGCGTTGTGTTACTTCTTGTACAATTCGTTAGGTAAACAAACGGGACTCCGTTTTCTTGTTACCTCGCGTTAACCCTTTGCGCCTAACTGATTCGGTCACTGGACTCGATACACAAAATCATAAAGTATCATATGTAATATATCAACCCTTTTGTTGTCGCGTTGATCACCAGCGGAAAATAAACCGTAGGAAGGGGTTAACGTAGCTTTCAAAGCTATCTTATTTGAATATTTCGTGTCGATGGGTTGTACGAAGTCCTGTGTATCAATATCAATGCGAGATATGTAAATAAAGTAGCTTTGTTTCTCAATGTACGCAGGCTTGTTCGTTAACTAGTTTCGAAGGATGTTTATGTATCACGAGAAAATGAATTCCAACGAAAAACTTTGCAGGGGATTAACACAGACACTAGGTACACGTGTCCTAATGACTGTCGTAGGTAGTAAATTTGATACACCCTAATTACCGAAGGATTACCGGTGCCAGCTGTACAATAGACTGGGTCATTTGTTTTGCTGGTGTCCCCGAGCTTCGGTGTATTTCGGATAAACACTGGTCTCCTACCTGCGGCTTATCCTCGGGTTTACCTTGCCACCGAACGCACCCGAATCGTTTGAACGTTGATAACAAGGAATAATATTTTCCAGGTCCCTTATCCAGTATACTGTCGACGAGGTATTCCTATAAGACGGTGACCATCATCGGAGGCGCGTTCGCGGCTTGCGGGATGATGTCCAGCTACTTCGCCAACTCCGTATCTTATTTATACGTTAGGTATGTCAGCTCCTAGAATTGGTCCTAGACTTAATCCAGCTGGGGAGCGTTCTGCGACTAACCATAAATAATTCCAAGAATGTTCGCGAGGGACATTGTTCAGGTTAAATTCCGAATTGTTTTGCAAACACAGCTATGGCTTGATGGTGGGTATCGGTGCTGGGCTGACGTTCCCGCCAACAGTGTACATCGTGACCGCGTACTTTGAGAAGCTGAGGGGATTCGCTAACGGCCTGTGCATCTCTGGCAGTGCGATAGGGACCATCGTGTTGCCACCGTTTCTGCAATACCTGCTCGACTGTTTTGGATACAGGTTATTACGATTAATGTGGTCGTTGCCGCTGTTCTCCGCGACACGCGGTGACGTTGAAGTGTTCTGTAAGTGGAGGTAGAAACGTAAAGCACAGTGACTTTTGCCTTTGAAGGGGTGCTGTGCTGATAATGGGCGCGATCACGTTGAACACGCTGGTCTGCGGCCTGCTGTACCATCCGGTGGAGGAACACATGATCGCTGTGCCGGTGGACGAGGGAATCGACAACGACGCGTTGTCCATTGACGAGCCGGCCCTTGATAAAAAGAAAGAGACAGGTGATTGATTAGAATTAGATAGAGTGTTGTTGTTGTTGTTGTTACCCGTGAACGGTTGCTTCTCATATTCTAACGAACGATTCTTTGTCCGTCCGGAATACAGTGTCCACTGTCGACAACGAGACTCTGTCGGGCAACGACAACAGGCTGACGAAGGAGGAACAGCTGCAGGATGAAAGTTGCCAAGCGATCTGTGATCCGAAGGAACACCAGTGTTCCGAGTACAGAAGCGAGAGCCTACTGCCGGAGAAAGAACAGGAGATGGAGAAGGAAAGTACTTTTGACGTGAGTAATGAAAGTTTCAACAAGGAGAAGGAGAAAGAGAAAGAGAATTACGAAAACGCGAGTGTGCTGAGACTGGGCAGCGACACGCTGGGAACCAACGGAACGGACAACAAGAATTGTTGTTCGGAGTTGAACAACTACTCGCTGAGCAGGAGCAAAGACGAGAAGATCCTTGAAAGCTTGAAGAGGAACCCGAGCGAATTGTCCGAGAAATCGGTGTCGAAGACGTCGTTGTCCAAGGTAGAGGAACCAGATAAATCACATTTCTTTGACTTAAGCGTACTGAAGGATCCAATCTATCTAGTAATTCTAATCTCGAATTCTACCTCAGCGATCAGCAATACCAATTTTATGATCCTACTGCCTTCTTATGCGATTTCACAAGGCTTCGATAAGAATTCTTCCGCTTTATTGCTGTCGGTGGTCTCCGCCCTCGACTTGGTCGGGAGAATCAGTGGTGCTTCGTTGTCGGATATCGATTTTGTACCAAAGTATTACTACTTTGTCGGTGGACTCGGTACCAGCGGCCTGGCTTTAGCGCTGTTACCTATGGCAACCAGTTACGCGATGCTTTCGTTCTTCTGCGCATTGTTTGGATTGTCCTCCGGTATGTATATCGGTATCACAACGGTCATTCTAGCAGATATGCTCGGCACGGAGAAACTTAGCTCGTCGTACGGCATATCGTTATTTGTTAACGGAGTCCTCCAGTTGGTCGGGCCACCAGCTTGCGGCGCGATATTCGAAGCTGTAGGATCGTACAAGCCGATTTTTCTGGCTTTCGGTATTATACTGATCCTCGGTACTGCATTATGGGCGGTTGTACCACTTATAAATAGAAATAACAAAAAGGATATACAATCCGTATAACAATATAATGCTATTATATATATATATATATATATAT